ATGCAATCTCAGAGGAGATGGGGTCATGGAATCACTGGGTCTGGCAGGCAGTTTGGGACGGGGACAAGTGACATCCCCGAAAACCAGGCCCCCCGGGGACCCCGCCATGGGCAGCTGGCACCCAAAGCCAGCGCCTTTTGCTCCCACCAGCCTTCTGCCCCGTTTCCCACACTTCCCAGTTACAGCTTCTGCGAAGCCCAAGCAAAAGCACGGGGGAAGGATGTGCCAGAAGAGCAGCACTTCTCATTTGCTGCTTTTATCATTAAACAGCAGCTTTCGGAGCCCCAGGGCGCCAGGCTCGCAAGGCTGAGCTCTTCCTGCTGCGAGGGTTAGTGATTCAGCTGGGAGTCACTGGGGTCTGCAGGGGCTGAGGCAGGGTAATTATTAACTTGCTCTACCTGTAGGATGAGGCATCCGAGACAGAGGGAGAGAACATGTCAGGGCACTTGCACTGCCAGGGAGCCGCCGCTTCGCCAAACCCTGAGAGAAAGCAGGCTGGCAATGATCTGCACCGCCTCGGAGCCGGGGGATGGCTGAGCTAACGGAAACGGTGCCGATCAGGATGGGGCTGGGGGAGCGGGGCACTTCCACCAGCCCAGCCCAGCCAGGGGAGTAAAGAGCTGCCTGGGGAGGATTTCAGAGGCATGACAAATGCTGGTTCCCTTTCATTTTGGCTGCACACTGGGGCATCCCTATGGTTTCGGGGGGTGCATGGGCCGGGGAGGTAAGTGATGCTCGTGGAGGAGGCGGGGGCAGCTCTGGTCCCTGACCCTCGCAGGACATCCTGGGGTTCCCAGTGCCGCTTTTTGGGGGATGGCCAGATGCGGGCCGTGCCGGTGGCTATAAACCTGTCTCAGAGAGGCCAGGGGTGCACCTGTGGGTCTGAGCCCAGAGACATCTGAGGTTCAGCAAGGGCTGTTTTCTCCAGAGCTTGGGTTTAGGCAAGTCCTCTGCATCCCGGGAAATTGCTGTGGTACCTAGACGGATGATCAGGCATTTATGGGAAGCACCATCCACCTTACAAAGGGTTTTTGTTCTGAGTGGGAAAGCCTGAACCACACCTAGTCAGCCTATTTCTCCAAGTGGGGGGACAAAGAAACCGTAGAAATTGCAGATGGACAAGACAGATGAGCTCATGCCCAGTCCCCCAGGCTCCCTCTGTGGCCAGGGCAGGATGGTGTCCGATGCCACCTCTGTGCCACCCAGCATAAGTGGCCTCGCAGAGAAAACCACAGAATTGGAGGTGGCAGCTGTGGCCGCTTTGTCTGCCCGTGCCGCCTGCCAGCCTGCTCTTCCGTGCCGTTGCCTGCACGCTGCCTGGGAACTGGGATCTGACCTCGGCCCGCGGGCAGGCCAAGTCACAGCTCTTCCCTGGACTTCAGGTCCCCAGCAGGAAAAACGGGGATTGTGGTTGTGACCCTCTTGGACAGTGTTCGAATGAAAAGCAGCAGGTAGGAGGTGGGCGTCGCTGCTGCCCCTGGTGCAGCACAAACAGGCTGTGCTTTCTTTTACTGGGGACTTGTGCTAGCTGTCGGATTTAACGATGTCCAGAAAAAGGCTCTCCTGAGATGTGGGCAGGAACCTGTGGAAAGCTGTGAGGGCAGTTCTCCTTGCACATACGCAGATGTATTCATTTTAGGTTTAACAGTGGCACCCCAGTGAAGGACTAAAATTGCTAGAAAAAAACAGGAGAGATCTGCCTGGTAAAAGAAAAACAAACCCCAAAAGACCTGAACAGTCCCACTTCTTCCTGTGCAACCGCAATACCTGATCATGAGAGATAAGACTGCTGGGGCTTGAAGGACTGGTGTGGCACAGGCGGACGGGGGCTGCTGCGTGGGAGCCTGCAGCTGAAAGGGCGGCAGGAGATTTCAGTGCCGTGATCCCAACTTGTCCACGGTCTTAGAGATGCCCCCGTGCTTAGCCACTAAATCCAGCTGTCTTCTCAGTCTTGCTGCAAACCCTTGCAAAGCTGGGATTGCAAGATGCTTGTTTGAGAGAGGGAGGTGTTGCGTTTGTTTCTTGCCACGTGAACGGTGGCAGTGGAAGTTCTCCCTTTCCATTCACACCCCAGGAGGATCCCTGGGGAAGCTGGCAGGTTGGCCAAGCTCTTTGCCAAAACTGCTGCTAGATTCCCAGCTCCCAGGTTGTTTTGCTTCTTGGGACCTTACTTATTACTGGTGAATTTGGCTGCCATGTTCCGAGGAGCAGCATCACCCAGGCAGCTGGTAGCTGGCATTGCTGCTTATCGCTGTGTCCGTAATTTCATTACTTTATCCTCTCCCCCCTCCCTGTTGCTGGTTGCTGCCCTTATCCAAGCAGTGTTTTGTTTTTGCTGCCACAGCTGTCAGGTGATCAGTTGCTCTTTGTTCTGACAGCGGCTTGTAGCACAAATGTAATCTTTTCCTATGCTTAATTGCCTCTCAGTGAGACCATTAATTGGCAGCCAGCACTTCCCACCTCCAGGGGAGGACCTGGGTACGTGTTCACCGGTACTGAGCCGGCTGGAAAAGCCGGAGGGAGACTTTGAGCAGAGAAGGGGTTAACTTGTGTCCTAAAAAGAGTTATTTAAATTCATTGAGGCCCTGGAAGGAACCCCAAGCTTTGCAGGTGGAAGGGTCCCGCCAGCATTAGGTCCCCCTGGCCTGAGCACTGCCGCTGTCCCTGGCATGGCTATGAGAGGGGTTAATCTCGTGCCGGAGGGGTGAGTCATGGAGGCCCCAGCAAGACAGATCTGGTTAGCTCTGCTGGGTCTTCATTTATCACGGGGCTTACGCAGCTGTCTCCTTGGCACGGCGCACGGGGAGCGGGCACACACGGGCCAGACGGGTTGGGCGGTGGGGAAGCGCTGGCTTCTGGAAGCCCTTGGCTGTGCGGGGCGACGGGCTGTCACTCTGTCCCTGCTGAGCCCCGGCAGCCCTCTCCCTGCTCATTCCTGGAAATGCTGTTTGGACAGAAGCGTTGAGCCCTGGGGAGCCACGTGCCACCGCTACGCCATGCCTCCCAGCTCCAGCGCGGCCGTGCCCTCGAAGTATCCCCAGGAAACGCAGCCGCCAGCGCTCGGAGCGGCATCCCACCACGGTGGCCTCACCGCCTGGCGACCGAGCGGCAGGGGGGACCCCGCGCGC